TTTTCAATTCATCGTTTCTCTTATATGCGGACGATTGTAAATTTTGGAGAATAATTGAAAACGAGTTGGACAGTCAGCTGTTACAAAATGATTTATGCGCATTACTAAATTGGTGTACAACGAATAAACTATCACTAAATATTGAGAAATGTAAATTAATGCGATTCTATAGAGGTTACAATGAACTAGTTTTTCGATTATCAATTGTTGAATTTTCCAATTATAAAAATTCCGTTAATTAAAGACTTAGGTATAATTTTAGACGATAAAATGTCTTTCACAAATCATATCGATTATGTTATAAATGAAGCTATGAAAATGTTAGGTTTTGTGAAACGTCAAACGTCGCAATTCAAGTCAAAAAAAACAATTGTCATGTTGTATAATTCATTAGTTAAATCTAAATTGATGTACGGCACACCGATTTGGTCTCCTGAGACACAAGATCATGTACGCCGAATCGAAACTGTACAGCACAAATTTTTTTCATATGTAGCGTTTAAATTCAAACTACCAAGTCCTTCTTTTACTCACATTTATGATGGAATTGCAATATTCACAGAATTACCATCTCTTCGCTCTATTCGTGAATTTCACGACGTGATATTTGTATACAAAATTATAACCAGACAAATTAAATGCGACGAATTATTATCTAAATTTATACCATATGTTAATGTACGAGATGTTAGATTTGTAAATCTGTTTAGAGAATTTTTCTGTAGATCTAAATTTTTGTATGATACCAAGACTGACTAGACTAGCGAATCGATATTTGACAGCCGAAATGTTAAATCTTAATATTGGTGCAATCAAGTCCTCTCTAAGTCATTTACTAGAATATAAATAATGAACTTAATTGTAACAAAACTTCCTATTGGATAAGATTACTATGTCAACCATTATTCATTTATTTTGTATATTTTCCTGGGGTTTTTAGCCTGTTGTATTTCTTTTCAAATAAATAAATAAATACATTGACATGAGTTAATTTTTTACCACTACAGATAACCTCAAATTAATGAGAAAAAATAGCAGCAATAATTTTGGGTTTTCTCCCACAAAACGTAATATCTGTTACACCGCAATGCACATGAGTTATATTTGTAGGAATAATAATAAAATAATAAACGGAGGAGATCTTTGCACATATATTAAAAAAACTCAATGGAGAAAGAAACCATTCCTTCATTGTCTCTAAAATACTAGGGCAAATTAAAAGGTATATGCGACAAATTATGCGGTTATGAAGACATGTTTATACTACTGTCAACCAAAGTCGTCTTGAATGTATTAAACAATAGCATTCAATACCCTTTAAATAATAAATTTAGTAACTTTATCTAAGAGTTTCAAAATTTGACACAAAGTAAAGGAAACATATAAACTTATAGGGTAATACCTTTGAACTTGATCCTGTGCTATTGCTTATTCTGCTATTAGGTCTATCTGAACGCAGAATGACTTTTATGCTTCAATTAAAATTGATTATGGTTGAATAATTGAGACATTTTGTAAAAATGCTTCCTTACTGCATACTGCTGAGTAATATTCAGAAATATGCAGATTCACAAGACCAGAAATGTAAGAAAACCGATACAGGTTAATCAAAGAGAATGCGGAGGAAACAATAACATGAATATTAAATCTGTTTTACATACATTTATAGATGACAATAGAAAATCATTTTATCCCAGAACGTTTAACCCTGCATGTATTGTCAAAGGAACGATATAAGTATTCTTTTCTCTTTTTTAGGGTTCCGTACCTGAAAAGGAAAAAAGGAACCCTTATTGGATCACTTTATTGTCCGTCTGTTTCTGTCAAGATCCTTTTACTCAGATCTATAATCCCTTGCAGCTGTGAAAAAATCAAAATTCTAACTTAAAGCAAACAAAAGATACGACCATAAGGGCATTTCCGTTGACCTAGAATTATGAAATTTGGCTAGAAGCAATGTCTTGTAGCATAAGTATAAAGGGGAAAATCCAAAAACCGTAAATTTGTAGTTATGTCACAAAAAAATAATTTTTTAATTGTAATAACGCAATTGTACGTTTTGAGAACTGCTTTTTGAGGGAAGCTTAAACATATTCGGAAAAAGTGGGAAAAATCTTTGAGGCTCGATTCCCGTGATGAACGAACTATTTAAGTACCTACATATCTACAAGTTTGTACAGAACCTTCGGTGCGCGAATTCGGTATGTACTTGGACAGTTTTTTTCATTTAGATAGGTGTAACAGTTGTAAAGTAGAAGAACTGTGACCCAAGGAGAGCTCATTGGAAGAGAGTACTTCATAATACATTTTCGTCCATATTTCGTGAACGAAAACATTACACGAACGGAACCAAGTTTATAGAAAAGAACATAAAATTTTATATAAGAAAACGCTCATACATTTATTTCCTCATGATAAAAGTTCGTTAGTTGCATGCAGCTCCCCAAATTTAATTTTTTTTTATGATTTAAGTAAAAATCGATTTTATTAAAAAACTATTGAAAAACTTGAACAGGTCAGACGGACACTGAATTGAAGCGGTGTCTTCCCGAATGATAAGTAATAGTCTTAACCTCTAGGTGTAGGGGTGAGAAATAACGGAATAGACGTAACTGGTGTAAAGGAAAAGCTATTATTTTGAGTTTTAAGGTTGGTTAGAGGATAACTGTTGAAAATTTTGAATAGAAATGTGACTGTGTAACTGTTGCGGATATGAACCATGAGTTGCCATTATACCATGTTTTCGTTCGAAGTTAAGCAAGAAACGTCGGGTGTTTGGGCAACCGGTTGTCATAAACGTCCTTTATTTTCATTATCTACAGATCTGTGAGAAATTTTCATATTGAGTAAGTTTCTTGACTAATGTTAAAATAAAATTTCNGGGTTATTCTACAAACTAAGGACGAAACTGAGTCTGATTTCGGCCCAACATTTTTTGTACATTCTAATTGCGAAATTTAGTCTATTATCAAGAATACAACGTCTTTTAGCCTATGTTAAGTGGAACAGTCAAAATATTTTAAAATTTTGGATTTATGGCCATTTCAAGGAAATCAAGCGGTAGGAAACTGAGAGTGTAACCAAGAAACTGAAGAAAAAAAAATAAAACCAACCGAAATCAACTTTTTAAATAACAAATTGACTTGTCATGTTGGCCATAGACTTGTTTTTTGTAAGATTTGTTTGATTATTGCCTCCAATTTTTGCGAGCTTGTCTTTTTTCACTAGCCGACATTTCAGATACTAGTTTTTTTGCGTTTCTCTCAATTTTTTATACTCTTGCTTTTTTTTTTCTTTTTCAGCCGCTAATCTGTCAGGATCACTATTTATTTTTTCATATCTCAATTTTTCAGCTATCCTTTTTTTTCTAATATTTCCTCCTTAGTCTGTTTATTCTTTGGTTTCTGCATTTTTCTTTTAATTTTAATTTTTTTAAACTATCGAAGCTTTGTATGTAACTACACTATCGTTCGTTTTATTATTTTGACTTTATAGTGTATAGCTAAAAAGTTGCAAATTATCTTGCACACAAACAGCATTTAAATATAAACTTCTCAGGACCCTGGATAGTTCTTAGTATTCTGGGTCTCAATTTGACAGGATCCTGAGACCAGGTTCCTGAGAATTTTTAAATAAAATTAAAAAAAACATCGATTAAAAAACATTCAACCAAAATTAAGCAGAACTAAGCCTTGGTGTAAGCAAATTACATATCAAAACGCTAAAATTACCATATTATATATTTATTTAGTATGTAAATATCTTACCAGGATCCTGTGAACTCGACTGATTACGACGCGACTTCCTCTTCTGATTGTGCCAGGCTGACTGAACAACACGCTAGGTGCAAAAAAATAGGTGGTATTCTTTGCTCCTTTCGTAGGTACAATTAACTCAACTGAACGACAACGTCTCTCGGTTAATAGAATATTGAATATTTACTTATTTTACATCGAACAGGATCCTGATATAAAACCGTTGGGACAAATTTTGGAAAAGGATTTTATAATATTTTTACGACAATAAAATGATAATATATCTCCCAGGCAAGAAGATATAATAAGTACTTCTTTATTTTGGTTTCATTTTTGTCCTCAATGTGGTAGTAAATAAATCACATTACACTTTTGATTAGATTTTGTTTGAGGGACACTGCAGGTTCCTGAGAATTTGGCACTTTGAATAGTAATTTCGTCAAGAAAATAATTTTAAATCTAAATTATTTTTAGAGACCAACTAGACATAGGTTAGTTTTACAGTATGTTATACAAATAAATTAGTTTGTAACAAATTTTTCAGGATATTTTAGCTGAGCCGCTGAAAATTCCTTAGTTTGTAGAAGTATCTATCCATATCTACCTTAAAATGTAGACTTTTTTAGTGACTGATTTTCGGTATCTAGGAAGTCAGATAAATCAGGATGGAAGGAGTAGTAGAGATATAAAACAGAGAATAGCGCAGAGTCGAGTCACCTTCAACACAAAGAAGTTAATTATTCATTTAGATATTCGAAATAAATTGTTAAAGGTGTACGTCTGCATGGAGAGCAGCGCTTTATGGGTGCGAAACATGGACGGTGCGAGCGGCGTAAATGAAAATGTTAGAAGCGTTCGATATGTAGTGTTACAGACGAATGATGAGGAAACCGTGGACAGAGAAGGTTAGAAATGATTAGGCTTTAGAAAGAATAGGAGAACAGAGGACTCTATTGAAATCAATAAGAATTAGGCGAGGTAGGTAGGTATGAAGGTCTAGTCAGAAATATATTAGAAGCAGAAACAGGAGTTAAGAGGATTTGAGGTAAATCTAGATTAGATAACTGTTCACAAATAGTTAAGAGTGTGGGATGTTTTAGTTTTAGGGAAATGCAAAGATTAGTTCAGGATAGGAAAGAGTGGAAGTGCCTTGTCCAAACAGACTGACGAACTTATGATGATGATGATGATATTAAAAGGTTTATAAATAGGTAATGAGTTTTAAATAAAATGATAAACTCGCTTTATTATATATTAATTTAAGTATAAATATAAATTACAACAATAAACCCTTTCTTTAATATCGTACATTTTTAAATTGTGCTAAAATTTACTGTAATCATGACACTTTCTGTGTTGATGACGCTGTACCATCTTGCTGTGCAAAGGAATTAAAATCCTTACAAAGCGATTTTGTTATGTACAGTACGGTGAAAATTCCGATCATACAACCGGTCAAGACATCCCACCAGTGGTGGCGGCGATCTGTAATCCTCGATAAGGAGCAAAATAACGCCCAGGTAATGCACAGTAGTTTTAAAAATAATTCGATGACGCCATTTAAAGGCTTTATTGCAAGACGACGTCTAAGGTAGATCTGTAAACAAAAACCAGAAACACAATTGTTGGAGATACGTAATTCAAACCAAATAACGTTTCAAAAATTGTCCACAAAAATCTTCAAGAATAACAAAAGAAACATGTATTATACTCCATATGCATTTCCCTTGTTCAGGGCATTATGAGGAAACTAGTGTAACTCGTCTACATTTGGACAGATGGTACCCTTGCATTTCTATTTTGACGTTTCATAACCTAATTTAACCTAAAGATTCCATCAGTGGGCGTTTAGTCGTAGTCTTTTCGACTTTAAGACGTATGTATAACCGAGCTTGATTTATTAAACACGTCCAACACATCAAAAGATTGTTGGTTTTTAAGTAAAAAAACCGATTAAACGACAACATCCTGTATATCTAAAGTAGACGCGTTAGTTGCTAGGTATCATCCCTTAATTTGACGTCTTAATGGTTAGCTAATTCCAGAAGATTGTTGTAACAATTTACATTACAAATAGAACTATAAATAATCAAAACTACACGGTATATGATGATCACTTGATCACTATACAGCTTACATAAGCAGGTACAAAAAAAAGCTAAATAAACACTTAAACCCTTAAATTCCGCAAAACGCGTTAGGCACTAAAGGTATTTTAGGTTTCTAAACGTGATGTGGAATTGGGTATTAATAAGTATTACTAACACTAGGTTAGAAGATAACAATTGATATTGAAATACGAACGTTAAATTTATAAATATTTCAATGGTATATAAATATTTGATTAATAAATACAGGGTGTTTTACAGTGACGGCCCATTAGAATACTTGAGAAACTACTTCGAATTAAGTTTTAAAATTTTGGAGTCTAAGCCTTTCGGGGATACTATGTATAAAATAATGTAATTCTTGTAACACGGTTTAAATGGAGCATCCTGTATATTTTTGAATTTTCAGAATCTACATCTTATTTTAGAGAGACTTTTATAAATCTTTCCCATGTTTAGGTCAACTAGTGTTTGAGATATTTCAACTTTATCAAAAAAAAATGTTTTTTAATTGTCTTACTCAAAATTGCATATTTCTTATATTATGCATGCTGAAGTATTAATATTAGGTCAGTTACGTAAAATTTGTTTAGTATTATACAGGGTGATTTAATGCCGAATTAAATTTGAGGTTATCTGTAGTGGGTAAAATTAATTCACTACTACATTGAATTAACATTACAAAAATTCAACGTGTTTCTTAACACAATACATTTCATACCAATGTGTAAAAACAGGGGGCCAGATTCAATTCCCGGTAAGGGAGTGGCACCATAAACAATTTTTCTTCATTAATTTGAGGTTATATGTACTGGGTATAATTAATTCAAAAAATTAATTCATTAATATAATGCAGTAATTGTTTTGACGATCTTAGAGACATCGAAAGGACTGAGAGACAAGCAGAACTTTGACTAACACATGAATTTTAAGTAAAACAAAAAGATTGATGTACCTTCCCATACCTATTTGATCATGCATGGTACCTACGCTCTGTGAATTATTTCATTTTCATTAATTTGTCTGTTTTGTACAATAGTTTGTTTTTTTTGCTCATGCAAACCTAATGTAAAATTGATGTCTAAGCAATTTCAATAAAGCTGATTTTATCAGTTTAATGTGATGTTCGGTACCGATTTTGATAGCAAAAGTCTATCCAAGCGCGAAGTAAATGAAAATGCGTGATTTGTCCAAACATTATTGATATCCCAACTAATGGTGTCTAAATTATCTTTTCAAATCCATAATTGCTACGACCGTTTATATCTTTTTTATGAGATCGTGATTTGAATGCCTTTCAGTTTTACGAGGTTATCTCGAATTGGATTTTTTTCTGAAATGCTATTCTTTCACATAAGCAGTTAAGTCTGTAAGAATGTGTTCAACATCAATTTTAACCATTATTAACGAGAAAAATAGTAAATGCGGAGCATTTTTTTATTACATTGAGAATTATTCAGTATTTAAAATAGGATGTCTGAGAAAGAATGTAGATAAACGTTTGCGGTTGATAAGGTTTGAAAATAAATGCATAAATGTATCTTTAATTGAATTTCTTTATTTCTATTATTGTTGTCGTGTACTGGTAATGTGTCCGGGGTATGGCTCACGTTAGAACTTTTCAATTTAACTTCAAACATTCAAGGTTTGTTACATATTAATTAATTACATATTTTGTTGAGGATGAATTTTGTTCAAATGAATTTTATAGAACGGAAGACTTTTGAAAGCTCGATATATAATAAAATGGGTGCTAGAAGTGACGAGAGGTCGTCAAAGGAGTCAGGTCGGGTTTTGAATACCAAAATCAGCAACTAAATAGTAGTTTACGAAATAAAGTGATTTATACTTTAAAATATTTAAAAGAAAACCTCAATAATAATAGTGTGAAACATAAAGTTGATAGTTGATTTTTCAAATTATCTTCCTTAAATATCCTTCATTGACAAATCATGGATCACTGGTAAATCAAGGGTAAAATGGTGTTTCATTAAACGTGATCTCTCTGTTCTTGCTTAAAAGAGTTTTAAATGAACATTTACTCAATTTTCGCTGATAATTTCTCTTTTTCATTATCTCTGTCACTTAAGTATACACGTATCGTTTAACTTAAACATTTTCGTGTTTTATTTTTCAGGGCAATGCCTCTCAACTAAATTTTCTAATGCAATTTTTGAGTAATTATCGTTTCTTTTATATTTTTTCTTATATAAACTCTATACATATATTATATTGTTGCACTGCTTTGTTATGGTTATATTGCTATGATCACTAACGTAATTTATTTTTTAATTTGTTACCCATAAAAGTTTTTTCCCGAATATGAAATAAAAAGATGTTAAATACACTTAAAAATGTAGAGATGAGTTAAAAAGCGAATATAAAGATAGGATACGAAAAATTAGAAGAAGAGACTGGTTTTAGGTATCTAGAAAGTCAGACAAGTCAGGACAGAAGCAGTAGTAAGGATATAAAGCAGATGATAGCGCAGGTTCGAGTCGCTTCTATGCTCGCGAACGGTTGATTTAGAAATTAAAAAAAAAGATTGTTAAAGGTGTATGTTTGGAGCGCGGCGCTGTGCGGGTGCGAAAAATTAACGGTGGGAGCGGGGAACAGAAATGGTTAGAAGCGTTCGAAATGTGGTGTTACAGGCGAATGATGAGGATACAGTGAATTGAGAAGGTTAGAAAGAATAGCAGAACAGAGGATTCTATGGAAGTCAATAAGAAATAGATGAGATAGGTTGGTAGGACACCTTTTCAGTTATGAAGGGATAGTCAGCGACAAATTAGAGGTTGAAAAAGGAGTTAAGAGGAGTAGATTAGATTACTGTTGGCAAATAGTTAAGGATGTGGGTTGTTTTGGGGAAATGCGAAGATTAGCTTAAGATAAGAAAGAGTGGAGGTGCGTGTCCAACCGACTGACGACTTTATGATGATGATGAAATAAAAATAAGAAAATAAAAGAATTATCGAAAAATGTCGTTGTTCCATTTTAAAAACTATATTATTTAAATCATAATTTAGATGCCTTTTTTTACTGAAAAGGTTTAGTAATGCTGTTCTGATTCGGATCGAAGTACCATCATATGTTCGAGTTTCGAGTTGTTGTTGAGAACAGCATCAGTTCATCTACTAATTTACCATTTGCCTTTACCAATTTGAAAATGTTTAAACTATTAATTAGTATTTATTGTAATTTCCAGTATGAAATTTCAGTCGGACAAACATGAATATATTTTATTATATGCCACTATCGAAAAGCGGCAAAATTTTTAAGAATTTGACGAAGGGACGGAAAATTCGGACAAATACCTTCGGCCATATAAGTCCAATAAATGCAATTTAAACCCTTGGAGGGGGAAATTTACGCATTGTACTATAATTCAAAAAATTAGCCCGATCATAACTATTGTTAAAATAATTCGAAGTGGTCTGTATTCTGTCAAAACTGCCAGACACGGATCGCGATTTCGATCTTTTTGGATCTCATCAGCGCGTCACAGGCAGCCCGACAGAACACAGACCAATTTTACCTGCTGTTTTAACAGTGCATTTCAGAAAATACTACAAACGGCACAGTGAACGCCATCTGTAGCACGATGTTACATTTTAGGATTACGTATTTTTCAACAAGGTCCACTTGTGTGGATATCTACTTGCTGAAAACGAATCCTGGCGTAGCCAACCTCAACGTGATAGGCACGTTAGCTTAATCGAATAAAATAATTCGAAGTGGTCTGTNATAAAAATAAACAAATTGTTCTTAACAATGACAACGGTCCCATCCCTGGATCTCCGCTATTTAGTTTAGTTTAATTACGTTTATGATGATGATGTTAAGGTCCATTGAACATCTACCTTGTTGGCTTCGGGTCATGTTCACTGAACCTTAACAACTATCAGTATAAATTAGGATTAGTTCTCATTTAGGTTTAGTTTACTTCAGTCCCTGAAGAAGGTAACTTTGTTAACGAAAAGTGCTTCGGATAACTACAGTGTCTTGTTTTGGCGTTGGGGTTTTGAGCTATTCTGTTTGTTCTACAAAAAGAGAGATGAGACGCACAGTCAAGTTAGTAGAAGTGTGAAAGTCTGGAATATTACAGTCTCAGCATTTGTCTATACGATCCAAGAAAACCAACGAAAAATTTGGACTAAGACAGACGGAACTGAAATCGACTCGATGTCGTTGTGATAAGTCATCGTTTAGCCACTAGAGCACACCACTCAGTCCGAAAATATATCTATTAAACTATGACGTGCTTATACTTTCTATTAGCTACTGATACTGGTGGATAGGTAGAACGTTGCTGCGTAGAGCACAGGGACATCTTCAGCTTCCTATTAGGAATTGCGGAATGAGTGGTGGTTGGAAAAAGTCAAATAGGACGGAATAAATAACGATAGAATTGAATGGTTATCTGTTGAATATTACTGCGTCAGCATTTGCCTAAATTATTCAATTAAAGTATACAAAAACTTGGTTCAGCGAAGGTGTCCTAACGAATTGAAAGCTACGGTCTAGGTTTCTACGCCATGAGGTCACGCCGCTCAGTCATAAAGTACCAATTGAACGAAGCTTTTCAGTTTAAGTTTTCTGTAATAATCGCGATTTCGATCTTTTTGGATCTCATCAGCGCGTCACAGGCAGCTCCGAGAACACAGACCAACTTTTACCTGCTGTCTTAACAGTGCGTTTCAGAAAATACTACAAACGGCAAATGGACCTTGTTGAAAAATACGTAATCCTAAAATGTAGCATCGTGCTACAGATGGCGTTCACTGTGTCGTTTGTAGTATTTTCTGAAATAACTATTGTTAGTTTGTTTGTGAATCAAAATGTAAATAATTGAAAATTGATAGTACCATAGTTCCGTAAAGTAGAACCCTTGGGCACGAAATATTTAATATGGGTTTGATTATAATATTTCACAAGTATTTAATTATACTCACCAGGCAAAATATTCCTACGTATACTGAAAATGAAGTGTGTCCAGAAGGAAATGATTTTATTGAATCATTGTGAAAATGATCATCATAATTTTTGTTTTTACAACTGTAGTCCTTTATGTAGTCTCCATCTTCACAAATTTCGTGTTGATCAGGAATACAAGTGTGCAAAAAGTGAGGTCTGTGCTCAGCTATTAACGTTTTCAGAACTTCAACAACAACTAAATTCAATAAAGCCCCAACAAGAAAGTTAACGTACCAGTGGAATACATATCTGAAAAATAAAAACTGTTAAATGGTTTACATAAAAAATTAATTAAAAAGGTTTGAAAAGTAACATCTGACCAAAATACCTCTGAAAAAATGTTTTCGACTTTTTTTAATTATTTGTTTGATCAGAAATATTGGTTCTAGAATTTGAACATTTTTAAAATCTACCAAACTTGGGATTGGAAAAATATCCAAATAAACGCTAGATATTGTTATATATTGATGAAAAAATTTATTGTTCCAATTTTCCATGAACTTGCGCATTATTAGATGAACCAAGTGGGGCAATACAACCCGAAAGCCCCGCTCGGCAAATCCTTATTAGTAAAATTTCTCCACATGCATTTCTCATTTGAAAAGTTTCAATTGTTTCTTGTTTGAGACATCAGTCATTAGGGGATGACTGTAGATCTAATTAGTTTAAATTTTGATTGCATAAATGAGATACTGAAATTATAATTGCAAAGTAAAATTTGTATAGGTATTATGTGTATGCAAATACATATATATAAATACGAGTATTGAGTATATGAATCCTTGTTGTGGACGATTTAAAATTTGATAGGAAAATCTAATTTATCTCAAAATGAATTGTATGTGTCGAAACAAAAAAACAAGGTTCAACGAAATTAAAATTATATCAATTCAAAACTAAGAATTTTTACTTTTTAATAGTGGTAATA